TCAGCTGCTTGCAGTCGTCTGCGCTCTCTTTGTCTCCCTCCCCCCTCCCCTAGACTAACTCCACCAGACCCTCCCCACATAGTCAGTCTTGTCTTATCGACCCCCTCCCCCTATTCTCACGACTCACTTGTACGAAAAAGACGAACGCGTTTTAACTTGTACCCTGTTCCCATATAAATGTACTTGTCCGACGAGAATTTATCGAAAGCCCACGTACGCTCGCCAACTACCCTTCTGAATTTTCTGACGGGAATTTTCGCAACTTTAGAACAGTCAGTAAATATTCCCAAACAAACATGGGAGGCAGGCATGGTTAACAACACTGGTCTGTTGGAATCAACCAGTGAGGGCGGGGAGAACTTCTCGGGTTTCAGTTGCTCACTAAGCCAAACCTTGCTCCAGTTGAACCATGTGTTCACGCGCAGTCGGTTGCAGTTAAGGAAACTCAGAGTCACGTGCGAGCAACGTCCTCTCGACTGGCATGGCCGCCTTTGCAACTGCTCACACAGTGACGAACAATCAGTAGGGTGCGCTTGCTACTACGGCCTAATTAATTATTACTAATCGGTATACGACCGCCTGCGAGGGTTCTATAGAGGAATCTAAAGACGAAAAGAGATGACTGTTTTCTGTCCAATAGGCGCGCCAGATCGCTGAATACGAATTCCACGGCAATCAATCACTTTTTTCCATAATCAGTCTGTTCTAGCCTTGAGCAGTGGGAAGGGTTTCATTCGTTTGCATTTGGCTTCGACTGGTTACGGTTTTAGACAACGATCGTAGGTTTGAGATACTGAATCTCATATTCAACATGTAATGTAACGTAGAAGAACAATGAAAGTTGTTGGTGATGCTAGTCTGATACTGACAGTATTGAGGGAGACCTGTGGGGACTCCTATTTTCAGTTAAGGGAAAGACCTACCCATGGTCGCGGAAACATCTTTCAAGTATGTGATGGTCCGTCATGCTCTGAGTTTGGGCAACTCCCTATTTTGGTTCTTTCGGGTTTTCGTCTCCTCTCGATACGTACTCATTAATACCCGCCGGCTCTGTTGAGCTACCGCAGAGGTAGGAGCTTCTGCGGTTTAGCAACTGGTATAATGTCATGAATTGTCACACAAGGGTATAGCTTGCGCATGCACCTTTCTTTGTGATGCGGATTGTGTCCTCTACACTTTACCGTCAGTCGGCATCCATTGGACCGCAGAAGAGAACATTTAAGAAGGAGAGTCGGTCGTCCATTACCTTCCACTTCCTGACTAGTCGATTCGAGGGGATACGATAACAGAACTGTCAACGTAGTACAGTCAAAATGAAAGTCGGTACGCAGAAAAGACACACCATTCGGGATTATGAAGTAACAACGCAGTATGGTGGCCCCATTTAAACCCTGGGAACTCTACGTGACCCCGATTTTTGAATAACTCGGGAACAACTATCAGATAAACCTGCCTTTACAATACCCGGCTTTTCGGACTTACCTGGAAAAAGTTGCTAAGGATTAAACGGCCGGAATAGTCATTTAATGCTACCGGTAACGTGGACCTGATATTGCAAACCCCGGAGAAAAAACGTCCGCCTCGCCCCTGCGGTTGGTATTGGGAATCTGTCCCTCGAATAGTGTTTAAAGATAGATAGACGAGTTCATTGCCAACGGTGGTTTATTTTCGATAACTACTGTCACTGCTCGTATTTGAGCTGGAAGTCTATGACGCGGAGAGCCACCGTAGCCAGTTCATATTGCAAGGTTTTTCGCTAGTCCCCGCTACAGAGAAAGGCACTGCTACTTGCATACAAGCAGTAGCATGTTTTTTTAAACCAACGGTGTAAAGTACACGCAAGCGAGGGTGAATGATTCCAGCAGCCGTGCATGATATTGATGACTAACATACAACCCCGTTGCAGTACTGCCTATCCTAGAAATACATTTTATGGCTAAGGGCATCTCGTACTTCTGTATCCTGTCTGAATATACTAGGCCACCTGATTTAAGTTCTGTATTTCCCACCAACAGGGGATACTTGTTGTCTGGGGTATTTACCCCACCGTTGTTATGTCAACCCTCTTGTCGACCATATATACAGACACTTCTTAAAAGCATAATTAGCGAAAATACCCTTCTCGCACCAACACTTTATTACGGTCCT